ATGAATTATTTATTAAAGATATAAGAATAAAAGATTTGGATAAAAAAAAATAAAAAAAATTGAAATTCCGAATTGCATCCAATATATTTGTTTTATTTATTATGGACTCATTGTGTATAGAATAAAAATTATAAATATTGTTATTAAAAAAATATTATATTAAAATTGTATTATCGTATTTTAATATTATTTATCATTAAGACTGTTTATTAATATTTTTCAATATAATTTCATAACTTTTCTTTTAAAAGTTACCATTATCACTATTTATTTTATCTTATTTTAATTTAGAAAATATAAAAAATGCATAAATTTCTTAAAATTTAAAATATTTATGTATAATATTATTCATATATTCATATGAAATTTTCTATAGTTATAATAGGATTCTAATTAATTTGTTTAACCATGAAATAATATGTCTGGATGAATCGAGGTTTATTGGATAATCGAGAATTGGAACAAAATAATTAAAAATATATTTTTATATAAATTATTTTTTCTACAATTTATTTCTATTTTGAATATTTACTTATAATTAAATGCATACTTATAATTAAATGCGTATTTCTATATTTTGAATATTTACTTATAATTAATATGCGTTAATTATAATGATCATCTAATAATTACTAATCTCAAAAAATGAACAAAAATCTAATGGAAATAAAATAATTATATAAATAAAAGTTTTAAAAGATAAAAGAATGCGAATATATTTGAGAATAAAACTTTAAAAAATTATTTTTGAAAATTATTTTTAATGAATATTGCATTAAAAATTATTATCGAATAATCATTTTGTGTAGTAAAAAATATTTTCCAAATAATTTTCAAAAAGTTTTTAAGATGTATTTATATTATTATATTGAAAATATTGATAAAATAGAAGATGAAGAAAATCAAAATTCTTGATAACCAATGAATAATTGAAATTCCGGATAATCGCAAATTAAATTTAATCGAAATTCTATTATATTCATTTAATTATTTTATTAAATAATATATATTTTATTAATATAATTATATAATATATATTTTTATTATTTATAATTATTTTGAGATAATAAAAAGAATTAATTTTATATTTTTATTTTAAACAATCTAACTTTCAAAAATTTCTTGTGTATATATATGTATCCTAAGATTTCATAAAATTGGACATAATTTTAATCCATTAATTTTTATTTAAAATCTGAAAGTATAATGATAGTATTTTTTATAAAATTTCATTGAAAAAATCTTAATAGATTTGAAAATAATCATATTATGTGTTTATTATTAGAAAAAAAATACACTTGAGGACATTTTATTTAAAAAACAGATGTATTTAATCTTGTACATAATCTTTAAAATTATTTTTCAAATAGTTAATATGTCCGTTAGTCTTTAATATTATACTATTTATTTATTAATAAAGATTTTAATAAAACTGATATTTACTTAAAATATATACATCAGGGATTAGTAATGTTATATATTGTTAAAATAATTGAACAAATAATTTAAAGTATAAGATTTGAAAATTTCATTGATAGATGATAACAAGAAGTATAACATATACAAAATATTAGATATATTTCTTTAAATATAATGAATATTAAATTGGCAATCTATATATGTTTATATCGATATTTTGTTTAAAAATCGCAAATATATATATTAACACTATATGTAATACATTAAATCAGATTTTGTGATTACAAATACATCATATTGATAGAAAAAATAGAAAATCAATTCTTTTTTTTTTTTTAATTTCAAATAAAATTATTATTCTAGATAACTCTTTACATGTATAATTGGTCGAAAGAAAAGTCTGAAAAATTAATAAAACAAGCCACAAATTTGGGTACATGGCTTTCATCAAGATCAAATTTTTTTACAAATGTAATAATGCAAAAATTAGGAATATTTTATCATCGACCAAGAGAACATGCTAATTCACAATATCTTCAAATTATGGACATGGAAAGTCTTACAAAATTTTCTGCTGTAACATATAATGATGGAAAAGATTGGTCGAAATTGAATACTAAATCACAAAACATAAAACATAATCAATTTTCATGGAACGAAGTAATTGGTCAAACAATGCGTGATGTAAAACCTAATAGCATTTTTCATAACAGTATAGATCCAACAGTGAAGGCAGTTTGCGATTTGCAAGACTTACGATCTCGCGAAAAAAAAGTAAAAGGTAAATAAAAAATGAAATTTGATTTTTTATTATTTATTATTTTTCAATTTAATTCTCTTCATCTAGAAATAATATTTAATTGAAATTAATTTAGAAATTTAAAATATAACAAATTTTATAGAATAGAGATGAATTGATAGTTAATTATGATTTCTTTTTATAAACAAAGTTGCCAGATGAGAACATTTTTTTTTCTATCATTAAAACTTCTCAATTTCTCCGGCGAATCTCCACACGAAATATAATGCTTTAAATACTTTTAAATAATATTCTCGTTTAATACATTTTTATCATACGCCGTTATTATTTTTACCTTCGTGGCGTTTACAATCTGCTGCTACTAGAAATCATTCCCTTACAGCACAATCAACTTTAAACACAATTAATGTAAATCTAATAATCTAAATAGCAATAATAATAATGTGACTTTTAAAGAAATAATGTACTCAATCTGACAATTTTGCTTTTAAATTTAAATATATTAAAATTTATCTCCTCTATATGTTGTACGTAAATAAAGATATAAAAAATTATTTTAACAAATTATTGTATTTTGCTATTGTTTTTCTTGTTTACACTCTTGATTTATTTATTTTTTTGTCTTCATTAATTTTATTAATTTTATTAATGTCTTCATTAATTTTAAAATTGTATTCATATAGTAGAATATCAATTTTTTGATGTGAAAAAGAAATAGCTAATTAAATAGATTTAATTTCCAATGAGAAAAAATCGTCATCTCTATTACCTATAATAAAATATGATAGTGATAATTTAATATGTTAAATTTTATAATTATATACTCATAATATTATTTCTCTTAATTTTCAGAAGATTTGAATAAATTATATACAATGTGGCAAAATCGTAGTGCTACCCCAAACATTCCAATTTCAATTATTGCTTTAAATACTTTCAAACAATATTCTCGTTTAATACATTTTTGTCATACGCCATTATTATTTTTACCTTCGTGGCGTTTACAATCTGCTGCTACTAGAGATCATTCCCTTACAGCGCAATCAACTTTAAACGCAGGCATTAATATATATCAACAATTATCACAGCAAATACAAAAAAGCCAAGATGACCAAACAGATATTATTAGATGGCATAAGGAATTATGCAGTTTAATGTTGTCTGAATATAAGCAATATCTTCATTCATTAGGTTTTACTTCTGTACAAATAGAATCATCTGATAAAAGGTAAAATCATATTAAATTTTAAAATTGTTAATATTAATATAATATTTTTAATTTTTTTAAAAAATTGTAAATATATTGTTATAATAAAAAGTTATTTAAAATGTAAATTGAACATAAAATATTGAATATATAATGAATGAGATATTTTATAATTTTAAAATTCATTTTTGAGAGATTTTATTCGTAGATTATTCGAAGAATAATTATATTCTTTTAGACATAATAATTATTAATTATTATTAATAATTTTAGACATATTTAGAAATTATTAATTAAATTTTTAACAAATAGAAATAAATTTTAAAAAAATCAATTTCTTATAAAAAATATTTTTTGAATTACTATAAAAATAAAAAATGTTAAAATTTATTAAAAATTTATGTTCATTTTATCAATTATATAATTAAATAGTATAATATTTGTCAACATTAATATTATTATGATATAATTTCAAAAATATTCCGATATATATACAGCAAAGATATTCACATATATGTACATAAATAGAATATGAAAAAGATTGATTTTAAAAACAAAAATAATATTTAAAAATGTCAATTGAGATTTATTTATTAAATTATAAATAATTTAAATTTGCATTATATGAAGTAAGATGAGAATAGAATAGCAGCAGCGAATAATGAAAACAAAACAGTCTCATTTTGTTGCCATCTTGCTTCGTCTAAAAACTTGATTATTGAATGATGAATTATATATAACTTAATAAATAAACCTTAATCAATATTTTTATATATCAACTTTTATGTTTTCGCATTCAGAATCGACTCCAAAAATAGAGGATTATTATATATCAAATTAACACAATTGTACAATTATATATTGTTTAATTTCTTTCAGTACATTTTAATTTTAAAAGAATTAACATTTTTATTCTGAATCCGGTTTGTTTTTATATGTATATATAATATATGTGTAATACATATATATTATATATATAGCTTATAAATCGGGAATAATATGATATCAATAAATAATTTAAATTAAGTGGTTTTTTTAAAAAGATTTTTAAAAAATCATTTTTAATAAAATTAAATTATCTTAAGAAATTTTAATTAATCTTTTCATATAAATAAAAGTATTTATTTAGTTTAATATGCAATAATACTTATTCTAGTTTCTTTGTAAAATTTTCTTTCTTTTGTGTATTTTTTTCGTATATAATCAATTATATCTAAAATAATCAATGAATTTATTTATTTTTTACAAGCATTTAAAAAGTAGGTACAATTTAAATTTAAATTTAAAAAATTATTTTTTATTTAAAATTTAAAAAATAATATATATATCAATTCTTAGATTTCTTTAATATATAATTGTATAATTTCTTGACAAAATTAACGTGCATAAATGTAATGTTTCCTAATTTAATATATATTTCTCTTTTTGAGAGAGAGAGAATTATAATAGAATATGTAGTAAAATAATGTTATTTTATATATAAATATTTATTCATTTCAAATATTTTTCAGTTTTGAAGAACAAATTCAGCAACAATCTTATTATCTTAAAAAATCAATGCTTGGGGGAATACTACTATTTGAAATTCATTTATCGCAACCTTTCTTTATTGTTAAATTACATATTATTGAATGCAGTCGACTACAGACAAAAGCAAGTAGTGCTTTAATGAATCAAGTAAGTTTCTTAATTTTTTATTTTTTTAAATATTTGTATTCATTAAATTTAATATAATCATGAAACCTATTATAATTTATATTATTATTATATATTATTATTATATTATTATATATATTAAATTACTTAAAAATTAATTCTAAATAATC